GAGGTGACACTGAAAGCTCAGCGAAAGACCTTGAGCCCACTTGTAAGAAAAGCATACGAGTTATATTTCGGGTTCAAATTTGCCGATCAAGACAAAATTTGGGATCCCAAAACATGCTGCCGCACTTGCTCAAAAACTTCAGCAGGATGGCTACGGGGTACTCACACTTCTATGAAATTTGGAGTGCCAATGATTTGGCTCGAACCTAAAAATTATGTTGATGATTGTTACTTTTCCTTAAGAAAAATTCAGAGATTTTCTAGTAAAAGCAAGTACAAAATAATGTATCCTAATATCCGCTCAGCCAGTAGATCTGTACCTGATGGCTCTTCTAGCATACCTGTTCCCAAGCCTCCAAACAAATATGATGAATCAGATAATTCTGACTCAGAGGAGCCAGAAGTCAGTCCAAGTTTTAAACAGGTAGTCGTTCTCGAATGTAGTAGCAGGAAACAGCCATATTTTATATTTCAAGAAGAGCTTAATGATCTACAGTATATTCAGATAAGAGATAGACCGGACATAAACAAGACCACGTGATCATCGAACGCTGTAACATTCGGCAGGGACGTATTAAGAGTCACCCAGTACATATTTTAGATAGTAGATGCTGCTTTGCTTAACTTTGTAGTAAATTAGCACAATTCGATGTGTATACGATTGGTGATGGATATAGAATCATGTGGGGGTGGGGTAAGAAATATATAATGATGTAAATATACATAAGGGTTTCAAAATTTTCGCTTCGATTTCCAGCTTCGATGCCGCCTGATGTTTGGTGAAATACAGTCGAATATAATCTCAAAATGGCGTTTAAATTAGCCTAAATTAAAAATAATCGTATATCTCTTAAAATTGCTTTTAGAATATTGATTAGTATATTTTTTGATTTCTAGGTAAATATGTAACCAAATTAAAACGTTCAAAACGTAAAAAAATGTGTATGGTTGAACATTGTCAGAAAGTAGATTCTTGAATAGGTTTTGCTAAAATGGGTTCAAAAATGTCAATAATTAATTAAAAAATACAGTAGCTTTATAATTACTTATAATTTACCGAATTTGATGAACGACATCTTTTATTGGAAAGATGAGCTTGATGAGCTTTCATCATGGCTACTGCCTGAAGCACCAACGTCAATAATGAATGGCTCGACTTGTTCCTCTAAAATATTGTCCAGTTCCCACATTCTCTTTTCAACTTTGTCTTTCACGTGCTTAATACAGTTTTCCCATTTTTGCGCTGTTATTAATTCTAGTGCTTCTTTGAAAAGTCCTTTGAGGTCACAAAATTTAAAAGTTGTATTGTGCTTAGCTATACAATTTTTAACCTCTGCCCATATGAGCTCAATGGGATTGAGCTCGCAATGGTATGGAGGTAAACGGAGCACAGTTTTATTTTGACTTGCTGCCATTTCGTCAATGGCGTATTTTTCATATTCCGCCTTGTGATCCTTGACAATTCTTAATAATTGTACTTTCAGCATTGCTTCTTCAAAGTTGATATTTTTCGAGCGGAGCCAATTTTGAACATCAACTTTCCTTGAAGCCGTTGTTGGGACCTTCTCCATTCTTCGAGAATGATAAGGCGCATTATCCAACACAATTACTGCGTTTTCCTCTAAGTTCGGTAAAATTTTTGAAAACCACTGTTCAAACGATTCGCCATTCATTTCCTCGTGGTAATCCCCAGTTTTCTTAGACTCAAAGCACCACAGACCGTCAACAGCAAATCCATCCTCACTGCCAATATGGCAGATAATGAGCCTTTTCCCTTTACCTGGAAATCGAAGTACTAACTGGTGTAGATTTATTTCAATAAGCGAACCTTTTTCAAATGTTTTCATCACATTCAGCGAAAAAACATTGAGACATGAGTATCAGATTGCTATAATTGGGATTATTTAGTCATATTGAAAGAAAGAATATTGAACGTCGTATGATTACTCAGCGCTTCACAATTTAATTTAAAGTTATAAACCTTTAAAAAATGAATGATCAGGAACCTGAAATACGCGCAAATATTAATATTAACAAATTATAACTTTATAAAGCTTAAAGTATGAATTAAAATGATTAGAAATATTAGGAACGGTACACAATATAAAACTTAGTAACTTTTTTTAAGTTTATAATATTCGACATATTTTAAGATTATATTAAAAAATTATTGAAATATCGAAAACACATAAAAACATGGCTTAAAAAAGTTCTAACAAATGAAAATGACAATAAAACATCCACGCATTTTATCGAAAGTTATAAAAGTTTTGTTACTTGTAATATGTTTTATCTGCCCCCTGGAATTAATGTTTAGAACCTTGTTCCCAAGGTTTGAAAAACGTCCGATTGTTGTCTATTACTCGTATTTACCTGCTGGATTTTTTAATCCGGTGGACAGTCCATCTAGAAAGGCCCTCCTGGATGAAGTTACAGAATCATCAACCCATACTTTACTTGTAGTGTGTCCTGCGTTTACCCACGTTTCATCAAGGTAATAAATCTTCCTGTTTTGATTTCTATATTTCCCAATTTTTGTTAAATAATCCCTCCTCCATAGCACAATTTCTTCTCTATCCAGTAGTAAACTATAACGACCCCGTTTTTTCCATTTGAAATTTAAATGCTTCAGTAACGCATGGAAAGTTGATCGTTTGAAATTTGGCAACGTTGTATCTCCATTTACCTCCTGCAGTACTTTATCTATAGTAGGTATTTCATTCCTAAAGAAGAATTCATGCACTTTCCTCCTAATCGCATGCTTATCAGCTTCATCCAATGATTTAACAATACTTTTGCGATGTTTACTGGTCATTGGCTCAGAAAAGGTGTGATTTTTTTTGTATTGCCTTAACACATTAAACACTGATGCGCGACACACCCCAACTTTGTGAGAAACCTTCACAACAATTTCTTTGATGGTTGATGCCTCGTTCTCCTCGCGCTCGATCTTATATATATTCAAAATGACCTCTTTCATTTCTGCACTCAGGTGTCTTTTTTTAGAGCGTTTCCTAGGTGGACTACAGGAGTTTACAACTTCATCGGCAGTATCTGTACTACTGGGCATTTTGCGCAAGCAGTTGATAACAATAACAATCAATAACAAGGTATAACAATAACAACGACAAACTCAACAACTTAATAAGATAACAAACGAAAACGTCCAAAGAAATATCAAATTGCAATGATGCACACGACATACGTAACACGTCTGAACCTGAATGTGACTCTGCCTTGATACGACTGCTCTGCCGCTCGGCATAGGCATTTAATTGCGAATTGACCAATGAGGGCTCCTGTTTTACGTCGAGACGGCGGCGTTAGCATGAAAATCACCCGAACCTTTTGTTTACATCCGGTCTATCTCTTATCTGAATATACTGTAGTTCGTGGTTTAGATCTTCCCAAAAGAAAAGCACAACTACTTGGATCTCGTTTGAAGTAATGGTGTGAAAGTTTTTGAACTGACAGTCTATGCTGCCCGTATTTTTCTTGATGGAAACTTAGTTTACTGTCATGATATTTCAGGTTTACTGAATGAACTTGGCATTGCCTGTGAACCTAACAAGTGGCGACTATTTATTGACTCTTCGAACACGATGTTTCAACGCAGTTTTGTTGTACAATGGAAACAAATGGCCATCAGTTCCCGTTGCTGTAAATATGACAGAAACGTACCAGAACATGTACATATTACTCCAAAGCATAAAATACGAAGATCATAAGTGGAATATCTGGGCCGATCTCAAAGTTATTGCATTGCTCACAGGACTGCAGAGTGGCTTCACAAAATAATGATGTTTTTTATGTGAATGAGACAGCAGAGCCAGAAGCCAACATTATTTAGTTAAACATTGGCCGTAAGAAACGTTGTGCCCGGCCAGAAAAATGTTTTTAATGAACTATTAGTAGATCAGCAGAAAGTTTATTTACCTCCGCTGAACATAAAACTAGGGTCTATAAAAATTCTCGTGAAAGCCTAAGATAGAGAAGGAAATGCGTTTCCTTATAACGGAAATTCCCGCGTATAAGTGAAGCAAAGCTTAAAGAGGGAATTCTAGTTGGACTTCAAATACGAGACACCTTTAAAAACCAAAATTTTAAAACTACACTTTCGAGAAAGGAAAACAGGGCATAAGATTCCTTTAAAAATGGGTGAAGCAACTTCCTAGCCATCAAAAAGTCGTACAATTACAAAGATCTAGTTGAAGAACTTATCCAATCTTATAAGGCCTTAGGTTGCAATATGTCACTTAAGCATTTCCTTCACTTCCATTTAGAATTCTTCCCTGACAATTTGGGTGCAGAAACCGCTCCGGGCGAAAAAACACAACCAAATAAATTATTTGATTGTTTTCATTATGCAATAAGAATATTTTCGAAAAAGTGGATAATACTGTTTTTGTCGTATCGTCTTCTACACTTTACTATGAGAAACTTCTACTTGAGCTGCTTCCTCACTTTGTGACATTTTAGGGTGAGCAGGTCTTCCAGTGTGACCTTCTCGTTGCTGTATCCTACGTCACGAAGCCTAATCACTAAACTTACAAACATCCGTAATTCCTTAAAGGAAACATTTCCTCATGCAACCTGCCTGCTGCGGTTGTATTTTGTTGGCACTCTCCGTATGTTAGTATGGTGTCCACCAGTTTATTGTTTTTGTAAACATGGGCCAGTTTTTCGCACAAAATGATCAGACAAATTAAAGTATACGCACTATTAAAGGACTGATACAACTCATCGTACTGAAAACCATACAATAACAGAAAAAGTTTGGCTAACTTAGATACGAAACGATGAGAGTAGTGAAAAAAACGGTAAGATTTTACACGACAGTCGGTGCAATAACATTCGTAAGTTTTAAAATTTTTAATCGTTTTACATAAGTGATTTTTGGTAAAGCAGTCTCACAAGCAGTTAAAATAAATGACTCAACTTTAAAAACATGCTGAATATGCTTGTAGAAACCCTTTTGTACCGTTTGAAAATAATAAATACCTGTTTGAATGAAGACAACTCCAGCTATCAGCGAACATCTAGTCTTATTCTTGAGGCATTGTCCCAGTATACAAAAAATATATCCTATCAACACGAAGATGCTGCCTAGCAGAATGAATATGATGGATTTCGTCACGGTGTCTGGAACAAAAACAAAACATAATAACTTCGTAGCTTGTTATTTACTTGGTGGAAGAAGACAAATCATCTAATATGACGTTTAATTTCCCATCTTGATGCATAGATATATGATATCATCATAATGTTCAAGTATCTGTAGAACAAAGATTTACTCAACGATAGTGGTAAATTTAGTTGAAATGTTCAATTCTCTAGTTCTGAGCTAATAAATGAGAATACTCTTGAAAAGAGAAAACGAACGAAAACGAAGTTACGAACTCTCGCAGATTGAAATTTTTCTTACTTCAACTTATATGTTAATAATGAAATGTCGTAAAAAGAGTTCAAAGCTCTAGAAGCCTTCAGATGAATCACAACTATTCTTACTCTTTAGGAAACATTAATAATACGAATTTGCGTTGAGGAGACATCTGCTTTTCTATCGCATGTACGCATTTAGTTGCAACTATCGAAATGACAAAAAAATAGGACGTGAAGCATTTTAAAAATCATACATTTTTTTGTGATCTTATCTTAAGCTTAACTTGGATAAGTGAAGAATACTCAGTGACATATAAATCCGAACACCCAGTTTAAATGGTTTTATTTTAATAAAAGTTGGTGAATGTATTTATCTTACTGTAAATAACAAGTGAAAAAATTTTCAGCCTGATCAGTTGGACATTCCGGTTTTTATACTGCTTTTTTTTAATTCACTAAAGCTCTAAAAATGAATATTTCAGCCGCAGTAAAGAATTAACGTTGGCGTATTTTGGTTCTTGACATCCTTTACGATCGGTTACGATGCCTAGAGTACGGAGACCTGTACGATTTCGTCAACTTAGTGAGTTTGATAGGGGCCGTATAGTGGGACTTCGGGAAGCTGGACTTTCTTTTCGGGCAATTGCAGTTAGAGTGCGAAGAAGTGTAGACACTGTGGTTAGGTGTTGTCAGGCATGGCTTCGAGAAGGCCGTACGCAAAGAGCAAGGGGCACTGGACGCCGCCGTAGAACAACAGACCGCGAAGATCGCCGCCTAAGATTATTGGCCTTAAGGGACCGTTTCTCCACTACCAGGTCCATTGCAAATGAATCGTTTGCAGAACACGGAAGACCTATTGGCATGCGAAGTGTTTACCGACGAATGAGAAGTTTTGGCTTGTTTTCATACCGGCCACACTGGGTCCTCCCTTTAACTCGAGAACACCGACGTAATCGCCTTGAGTGGTGCAGACAACGGTCACTCTTGGATCAGGAATGGAACAGTATTGTCTTTAGTGACGAGTCTCGATTTTGTTTAGGCATGCACGATGGTCGTGCCAGGGTTAGAAGGCGACGTGGTGAAAGGAGGAATCCACAGTTTTTTGTTGAAAGACATGTTCATCGCACTGTTGGAGTTATGGTTTGGGGTGCTATAGCTTATGGTTCCAGGTCACCTTTAATCTTCATCAGAGGTAACATGAACGCGCAGCGTTATATCCACGAAGTTCTAGAACCCCATCTTTTACCCCATCTTGACACCCTGGCAGATCCAACTTTCCAACAAGATAATGCCCGACCAGATGTTGCAAGATCCACAATAAACTTCTTTCAACATAATGATGTCACATTCTAACCATGGCTACCAAGATCTCCCAACTTATCCCCTATTGAGCACGTGTGGGATATGATGGGTAGGAGATTGCTCAATTTGCAACGTCCTCCTCAGACTCTAGAAGCACTTCGAGAGGAGTTGGTGGTTGCCTGGAATGAGATACCACAGGAGGACATTGACCACCTGATCAGAAGCATGCCTAGGCGCGTTGGAGAATGCGTAGCACATCAGGGTGCATCCACACATTATTAAAGGTCAAAGGGCTTTAAAGCAGTGCAATCATTTTGAAATTTTTATCATTTACTTATTATGCTTCATTAAGTACTTATACAAAATTTTATTAAAATAAAACCATTTAAACTGGGTGTTCGGATTTATATGTCACTTAGTATATATTTGGCTTAAAAGCTCTTAGTATAATCTAAACGGTCGCCCAATTTTGTACTTATAATTTTGAATTAGGACATTACAATAAAGGTACCGTAGGTACTGCAAGAGCAAAAAACAGGCTTCTGATATTTTTTAATGCTAGCTTCCAAACGAGGTAACATTTTTACTTGTAAAAGACATCTTGACACCACCATCTACAAGGAACAAAGACTTAATGAAGGGCAAGTTTCATAGAGGATTTCCAGAGATTTTGGTGTTTGGTGCAATCCCAGAAAAATTAAAGCTTCACTAAATTAAAGTTAACCAGAAACTATTTCTGAATGACTATGATCTGATTAAGGTGATCAAATTCAGCCATTTTGACAGACGAACAGGGCATACACATTGACATTGACGATTCTGTAAAATATTTTGCTAGAAAAAATACCGAAAGCATTTTTGATGGCAATCAAAGAATTTAAAGATGTTAGTTTTCTAGATTAATTATTAAAATAGAGCGAAAAATTTTCGATAGGCCCCGGACGACGAAAACCCTACGCCACTGGCAATTAAGTTTTGCCGATTATCATTCCTTCAATTCAAAATAAAATCTGCCTCCTCACAAGCAATAAAAAATTATCCTCTTGGAATAGTGAGCCAAAATGCAATAACTCAGAATTTATATCCGCACCGCCACGGTATTGTGCTGGCTACAGTAATATTTTCGACAGTGTGTGTTGTCCTGACAAACTTAATGCCCTAATAAAAATGTTGGCGTGGTATGTTGGAAAACTTTCGTAATATTTTTCAAGATATATGGCCCCGGGATCTTTACCTAGATATTCGTACAGTTACAACGTTGGAAAGTTTATAATGTACGTTATCAATTTTTGTGTTGTAAATATTTACTGGTTAGCTACTCAGTCGCTTCCATTGATAGCGAGATACAAGAAGCAACCTTCCCCATAAATCCTTTACTTTGGCTGTCTTATGTACAAGTTAACGTCATAGGCGCATTCGTGCGAGGAACATTTTTTTCATAATCTCCTCGTTTGGTGAATACCCGTTAATACGAATCAAGAGGTTGCCTGGGGGTAACCTCGTGCAAATGTGTTTAACCACTTTCGGTCAGGTTTGTCTTTTTATCATGAAATCAATCATTTTATATTATAGATATGTATATTGAGTAAATAAATTCAAACATTACATAGTACATATAAAAATATAGTTTTCGTCCATCTGATCACAGACCGCCAACCAGGTGCTTCGTGTGTTTTGGCAACTCATGAGCATTGTCTAGGCTTGGTTTCAGGTAGGACAATAAACCTAAATCTGAGCACCTATCATTTATCCAGGATACAAGATCTATCGAAATACGACAGTACAAAGTGCCATCGACGACAAGAATCTATCACTGCCAGAGTGAAACAATCCGCTGTCTGTTGGAAATGTATCGCAGTTCCCAGTTGAAAGCGGGTTTACCACTATGGCCGCTAGATGCCGCCGATTCTGACGGTACGGCAGATACGGTCCGCTCGCCATTGAACATTTTAGTAGTATAGCTTCCGTCCATCCCATCACAGGCGACTAGCCATGGACAGCTGCTCTGTGCTTTTTGGCAACTCACCAACAAGGCTTAGGCTTGGTGTTTCCCTCTCGCAGTAGTCGATTCTGGTAATAGATGGCACTTTGTCTGTGCCTTACTTCGATATCCATTACATCCTGGATTCTTGTTCAGTTGCTCAGCTTTCATTCGTTGCCCTGCCTGAGACCAAGCTTGGACTATGCTGACGAGTGGCGAGTAGACCGTCTACTAACGTATGACCTAAGAGTTTAGGCACAAAATTTATTGGTTTTAATTTTAACAAACACAAAATAATATCAAGTTGCCTTTGGAAAAGTTTGTTTACTTACTTTACTGTCAGTTGACATTAATTTACTTTGAAGTTTTCGCTTTAAGATGTCGTATAAATTAGAAATAAGAAAGAATATCTACAAGTTGGTTGGGCGGGTATCAAAGCTGAAATCTGTCGAATATTCTCGAATAAAAATATTCGGCCAAAAAGTGAAAGACCACGTGCACTCATTGCACAGAGCTCTTTAATTATCCACAATTGCACTGTAGTATAGCCATATGTCAGACTTATATGGCGAAGTTTAGCATGCTGCTACTCTTTCACTTAACCATATAGTCTCTAGCAGATGTTCAAAAGAATACACTATCCACAAACAGATTTGGTTCATTACATCGAAAGCAAAATTTAAGAAAAAGAGAAGAAGGCATACTTTCCAAACCCAAATGCACCAAAAAATTATTAATCTGAATTAAAGATGGAATAAAAAAGAAATGAATGATTACGTAAATTATATGTTTGGAGGGTTGAGTAATAATGTTTTAACTTTTTGTCGAAAGACAGGTAATGAAAATTCTTTATATACTTTAGGAAGGTCATTATAAATAATAGCAACATTGTAAGAAAAACTGCGTTTAAAAAGTGTAGACGTATGCAGGGGTATTCTAATATTATTTTCTCTGAGAGTTCTACAGTGAACATCATTATTAAATGAAATTTTTTCCTTCAAGTAATACGGTTTAGAATTGATGGGGAATTTTGAAATATTACTAGATGCATTACGGGCATGCCGACTGGGAGGGGTCAGAGACTTCTTTTTTACCTTTCCTTGGAGAGATGTTGGTTTCGGTGACGCGGAAGCGTCGGCTGTCTGTTCTTCGATAACCGACATTACCCTCGTAGAGATGGAGGAATACACAGATCCTTCTTAAAAGGCCCACTGTAGAGAATAGACAGACCGACGTCGAGTCCAGAAACAAATATAACGAATTGGTTCGTAAAGACAAAGACCAGCACGATATAAAAGATAAGTACAGGGTAATGTCGAAGCGCAATGGCAGTCGGTCTTTCTGGACGCTGTCCAAGCAGATTGAAAGGAACTTCTCACAGAGCGGCCTTCCACCACTGACATGTCACGATGGAACGATTGTAACCGACTCAAAATCTAAGGCGGAACTACTTGTAAAAATCTTTGCTGCCAACACCAAGGACGTTCCCCTACACTATGCGGGAAGTAACATTCGGGCATAAGTCACTTGATTCCTGCCGTTGTACTGAAAAGGTGAGATATCTTATGAATCCAGGACGTTATCTGAAAAGTAAAAATTTGCTCTTGTTCAACCCATTCCTACAAAAGGTTCTAAGACTGACACTTACAACTACAGCCCTATAGCTCTGCTTTCTGTTATTATTAAGTTGATGGATCGCGAGGTTCTGAACTACCTGGTTTCCAGTACCAGCGATCCACAGGAGACCTCCTAGCTTACGTCTGGCATTTGCATGGCGAGGCTCATCTCTTTGCTTTTGATATCACGAAAGCCTCTCAGATGGATAGCTGACTTTCTCTCTGGCCGCAAGATATCTGTCATAATTGACGGATTATCCTCTTCATCCCACAACGTCCCCAACGATCGGTCTTGTCTCCGACATTGTTCCTCTGACATATCAATGACCTCCATTCCTGTACGATCAACACGATCAACAGCTTTGCTGTCACAGCACTCTACATGCAGGAATTCAGAGTGACAAGCCGATCCCTGCCACTGAGCTGGCAAAAAGGAGACTAGCGGCGAATTGACGAGAGACTTGGAGGTTATCACTGCTTGGGGACGCAACAACCTTGCACAGTTTAATGCTTCCAAATCACAGTACTGTACCTTGACGAACATAAAAGCGTCCTAGCGCACATCCGGTTTCGATGGACGGCCGACTTCTGCCAAAGAGCCATTCATTTTGACTGGTCATTGAAGACTTTATCTGGCACGAACACATCTCGTCAATAGCGGCAGCTGATGGGAAAAAGTTAGAATACTTGTTTAGGGCTAATAGGCACTTTTCTACGCAGGACCCGACTACATTATTTATGCTCGATGTTGTCCAGAAGACGGCTGTCCGACTGATCGATGACTCTTGTCTAACAGGCAGTCTCCTTAGAGCTCTTCTCCATGGTATCGCCGCTCGATGCGCCTGCCAGACAGACCCGCCTGACTTTGGCCTCCCATCATAACCGTGTCAAACTTACATGTACATCCAGAACTGGTCGACACGGTCGCTCCTTTGTTCCGAGGGTGTCGATATTGTGGAACAATCTACAAGAGGAAGCTTTTCCCAGTTCTACTAACCTTAGCCAGTTGAATAATCGGATTAAACAAATTTCTTTGGGATCCTCATATCAGCCGCAACTGCTTCAGTATATATAAGAAAAAGGTAATCAACTGATAGTTTATCGTAACGGATACTTGTGAAAAAGATAGTAGGAGATCAATAGGCCGCAAGGGGTTAAAGCGTCTAGAACATCACAAAGAGTATCTCAGGCTTACAGTAACGCGTCTGTATCCCTTTATCTTCACTGAAGGTTCAGATTTTTTTACTATAAAAGTTACTCTATTGACAGAAATTGGTTCAGGTAACTAAATTCATATTACTTTTCCCTTTATTTTGAGTTGTTGCATAGTTGATTCCTAGTATTATCTGCAAACTCCCTTTGATTATTTCTTGATTCAGACTAGGCCATCTTAAGTGTTGCGACAAAAGAAGATAAAGTAAGCAAGTTTGACTTACAAGGTATAGCCAGCGTGGAGTCTGTCGGATCAGGGCTGTAGACCTCTTCGGAGAAGTAGTCAATCATATTGCAGTGGTACAGAGTCTCGCCAGCTGAAAGAAAAATATAGCTTAAGCAAAATATACCAAACGTACCTGATATTTCTGATGACTAGTGTATTTATGTTAGATAGCTCAAGTAGGAGGACGCTGGATACTTTGTCGCACCCAAATATATTGGGCCAAAAAGAATATGTACATGCTTGACCATTGCGTATTGTTTGGGGTTGGCCGACGTTGGCGATGAATGATCTTTGTTTTCACGCTCAACGAATGAATGACACCTGGCCAACGCTATATAGACAAGCAACTCGGTATACAGTTACAAATGAATTAAATCAAACGCATTGACCTGCGATACAAGGGTATATATTCTCCATGTACCTTTATCAGATAATCTGGGAAACTGCAGCAGTGCCCAAGATAAATTCTGGAACTTGTCAGGAAGGCAAGGACGTAGTGCGAATTGAAAAACAAAATTTAGAATTTTGATTAAGCGGTGTTAAAGCTCTACTGACGCAGAATACAGATTTGTGACATTTACTTGCTGTAGAATAACAATATTCTTAGAATTAGACATGATGGATAATATACTAAAAAATAAAAGGCTGAGAAGAAATGAGATTATTTGTCTCAAATAGGCCACAAAAAGGTGAATTATAACAGTTTTCTCATAAACGATATCAGTTCAGTCACGTACATCCTCTTATAATGTGTTAAGATTAAGTACCATCGAAGATGAAAAACGATACTTTCCTTAAAAACTCAACATTATCCTAGGAATCATATAATGGAGGATTAACACGTCAATAAGAAACACACTATTTATTCTAAACAATTTATACAGATATACGTGTATAACTTGGACGACATTACTGATTTCTTCACTGAGACCTAAAATTTTTTTTGCTTTTGACTATCATTTGTGCTATTAGCAAAATTACATGGCATCAAGTCACTGGTACCCTGTACTATATCGTTCAAGTTAGCCAAGCGCTGACCAATGTGAGGAGGCTTTCCTTTTCGATCCAACATACCATATTATACCACCTTGGCGCCAAAGTTGGCCAATACGTGGATGACTTATTAGAAGTCAACATTCGTCACGTTATTGCAAATATGCAGGGTGAGGCGTTTTCAGACACGCAGTGTAGCTGCTTCAAAATTGAGCAAAAAAGACAAGAAAGAAAGTATTTTCAAGCCAATAATAGGAAAATGGGTTTTTGGACAATTTACAGTGGTTGTCTAGGAATTTGTAAGTACAGCTACCTTAGCTAACTTTTAATACAATACATTTGTAATTTTCTACCCTTCGGCATTTCTTTCACGCCAATCAAAGAAGTAATAACTAATTTTCCCCTTCACTCGTCCAAGCACCCCAAAACACATTAATGTCTGACTTTCCAGGTTGTTGAACATCACCGCACCCGTAATAGTTTGAGATCCGGTCGCTTGAATCTCATAATACTTGACTTCTATGAATGATAAATAATAGTATAACGGGTTACAGCAGGGTTACTATATTGTTCCAAACTGTTGAGATACTTGACAACCTATCAAATAAATCAATGAAATTTTACAGGTTGCACCTCCACAACTGTTATAGAGAGAGTACTGAATTTTTCATAAAAAAAAATCATTATGCCATATTATCTATCTATCTACTCACTTTTTCAGTCAAGAACGAAAAAACGAATTATTTATTGTAAATTTTCGACAAGTTTTTTTTTGGTAAGGCTTTTGGGATTCTATACGACGGGCAGGAGTATTACGTATCGTGAAAAGTGACATTATGTCGGTTCATTTTTTACATTATATAGGTTTTTTGTGACATTATGCAGGTTTTTCTGCAAGCTGTCAACTTAGAACTAGCTATTGTGCACTTGTTGTGTATTCATTCTGTAGCTGTTCGTGTTGCCTAAATGTCATGATGGTTGAGCTATCAATGATTGGCTCTGATATTGATGTAACACCTGCTTCAGATATGGCATTATTGGAGGTCTTAGAGCCGTATCGTCAGTCGTTCCTACAACTGTAGGACGCTTTTATGACCTCCTTGATTTTCATAATGTTCTCCCCTTGCGTGTCAGCATTCTGTTTTGAGGTTATGTTACAATTATCTATTTGCGTTAAATTGATCATGAATTTGATTTATATCGTCTGTTATATAGCCTGAAATTTCCTACAATTCAAGAAGAAAACATAGCCTTAGCATAGGGGAGCGCTGTATCAGACACGAACTAGTAGAAATCTTGAAATATTCCAGCCTTTCTGAAGAAGAGAAAGGGCTATTCAAATCAAGGAGGCCATAAAGGCCTCCTACAATTGTAGGAACGACTAACGATACGGCTCTAAGCTGTGAGTTGTATACTATAGCTGGAAGGAGACGGCAGTGCATACGTGCATAGTGACGATTTGTGTGCTAATAACCTGTGTTGGTGATGTTTCCATTGGTTTTTTGTCTCAAATATAGTTACTTGAGATGTATGCAAAGATAAAAATTAGTTGCGCTTCCGCTTTTTTTGCAAATTTGCTGAATTGCAGAAAATAAAGCGACAGGAAAAGAAAATCCCTGGTTGGTAGAGTACGAGTATATATACCTATTAATACCAACAGGTGAGAAAATATGGTACATACATTTTAATTTTTCAGAAATTTATTTTACGCGAGTGTGGTGCCGATTTTTCGTAATGCTTTTCAAGGGTTTTGTACACGCAAGAGAACGGGGAAAATTTCAATGTATAACATAACCTCTCTTCAGAAAGGACACACAAATAACCCGTCTGGCTCCGCTAATAGATACATTTCATGGGCAGCATATCCTGTAATAATTTTCGCACATATCACTAATTTTATACTCATGCAGACCAATATATACATCATTCGGATGTGATCTTGCTTCTATAATACTCAAACACACATCCTCTCAGATTATACAAATACAAATCAGCGCCTAGATGTGGGACAGCGCGAAAATGTTTTGTATGTGATACGTCATTCTTAATTTTTCTGTGGTGTTGCTTAATTACACACAAAGCGAGTGCTGTGCTGATTTCCCGTAATGCTTTTCAAACTTTTTGTAAACGCAAAACAAAAACGGGGAAAATTGTAATGTATAACTTTGTCTCTTCACAAAGGACCCGTCTTACATAGCAAATATCACTAATTTTATACACATGCAGAGCAATACACAACCATCCGGATGTGATCTTGCTACTATGATACTCAACCACAGATCTTCTCAGAGTAAACTCTCAGCATTCTGCAACCAACAAAGCATGATGGGCAGCTTGCAGTATAGTCATTGAGCGTGTGTGCCGTCGAGTCGTTCCTCCATAGATGGACGCTTTTGATGACGCTAATAGCGCTCATAGCGAGCAGACGCAGAATGAACTATTTGCCAACTAGGGGCTATCTAGGCAGCAGGTTGACATTTTGTCGTTTTTTGACATTTTATAGGTTTTTTACGTAATAGCCCTGCGGTTTTTGGGTTACATCTAACCTGTTTACAAATCATGAATATTACATTACCTATCAAACCAAGAAAAAGTATTTAGTTGGTAATGGCAGATCGTTATAATTGGCGTATTTTCATTATAAAGTCTACGCACATCCAATAAAGGCGAAAAGTCAAAAAGTGTCCCTAGTCCCTATCATACCTCAGTCATACAAACCCCATAAACCTTATATCAGGAAGAAGCTTATGAAAAGAAAAATCAATGAGTTTAAAAATATACAGGTTCTTTATTTGAAAAGTACTTAATTTTGGCTTCTTGGAGTACCATGTAAACTGACAAAAAACTGAAAAAAGCAATAGGGACAAAATATGGGATTTTAACGAAAAGTTCAGTACTCTAGCTGAACCAGCTGCGTGAGCTGTCAAAGTGGAGTATTTTTTTCGATAGTCCAATATCTCAGCAATCTGAAAAAAGATGAGACCCTATAGTACGAGGGTGAATCAAATATAAACGAGACTTTTTTTTGTAATTTATTTTAAACGCAAAAAGAATATAGTCTATTTTTCTACATAATCTCCTGATTTGGAAACACATTTTTCCCAGCGGATAGGCAGCTTTCCAATGCCTTCAACGTAAAAAGATGCAGGTCGTGTCTTCAGTCAACTGTGTTCCAATGTTTCCCACCCCAGTTGTTCCATTTGTTCCCAAGTCAAGGCTGATGTACGGAGGCGAGCATTGTCATGGGGAAGAACCACTTCCCTGATCGATAGGTCTCGTCTTTTGCGGCGATATGCAAGTCGGACCTCACTCAAAACGTCGCAGTAGTAGGCCGCATTAATTATCCTGCGTTCGTGCAAAAACTCGAGATACAGCAATCTACGCTGGTAAAAAAAACGGTAGCCAAAACCTTTCCAGCCGATAAACGTGACTTGGCTTTCACCGGTCCAGGTTCTCCTTGTTTTCTCCACTCCATACTCGCTTGTTTAACCTCTGGGGTGTAGTGGTGCAGCCGTGTTTCATCACAGGTGATAATGTGAGTGAGAAATTGGTCTCCTTGTTCCTGAAATTGTGCAAGTACCCACCTGGCGCACACCTTACTGTACCCTAGCTCCTCTGTGAGTATGGAGTAAGTGCTCCCCTAACTTATCCCGACCTCACTTGCAATTTCAGAAGTGGTACGACGTCTGTCATCTTCAATAAGCCGTCGAATACTGCTGATGTTGTTCGCTGTAATGCTGGTGCGATGTCTGCGGTCATGGCTCTCATTTTCAACACGATCACGACCCTCCACGAACTGTTTATGCCATGCAAACACTCTGGCTCGCGACAGTGTCTCTTCCCCGAACTGGGCAGTCAATCTCCTCAAGATTTCGGCCAGTTTTACGCCTTCTGCGGCGAGAAATTTGATTATAATACGTTGCGCAATTGACGGAGGTACCTCTTGCTCCGCCGTCGTCACAGTGGACACTGAGCGGGTCGAGGAGGCGAGCTCACGTGTTTCCCTTACTCCTGACAAACCTACCCAACAACAAACATAGCGGGACCGTTCTTCCTCCACTATTGTGCCTGAAGGTCGAAAAGTCTCGTTTATATTCTCGTCTCGTATTTTGTACCAAATTACATCGTCTGAAAGGGTGTATCCAAATCTGTAACAA